CCAGGTAGACCAACAACAGTCATGACAATCACAGCCACCACCGTAATGCAGTTAACATTATATCGCATTCTACAGAAAAGATCATTCATATTTATTATCTCATTTCAACTGCCCCACCTTTATTTTGGTAGGAATCTTGCTTTTATTGATAGTTGTCTGTTATATTCACTAGTTCCCCTTCCCTTTATAAAGTAACCAAGTGTCTAATTTCCAGATATTGCTAAAATCTTTAGATCTGCTAAGAGAAGAAACCTATTTGCTAGGTTATGTATCACATTATATAGTATTGTCAGTTCCCAGGTATTGTCAGTTCCCTGGTACGTACTCTTACATATAGCTCTCTCTTTCATCAAAAGTGGGACAGTAAATATAATGGCTTAGTGAGCATCTGGAAGTAACATTAATAATGATGATAATAATGATCTCATGGGATGTATAATTTGGGGGATTAAAGAACATTTACAAGCGTATTGTGTCATAGTTAATGATGAGGTGCCAAGTTTTCTTGCCACCACCCTTTCCAATGGTATTTCCTGCTTGGACCAGAGAACTAATTCTAGTAAACGGTGCCCTTTCAAAGAACTTGCCCCATCCTAGAGCATACCATAAAGATATTGAACTGTTTTCGTGTTGTTTTTCAGAGACGATTTATAAATGTTGTTTTGCTTTTGTCTAAAAAAAATGTGTATAATGTAATCATTTAGTGTTTATTTTATTGTGTGTACCTTCTACTCAGAGGGTTGGCATTATTGTTCCTAACAGTGACGGATACAAGCAGATCATGCCTTATGACCTCTACCATCCCCTTCCTCGGTACGTAAATCCATCGTCCTGATGATGCTAGAATTAGTCAATCGGTCTTCTGCTTCTCTCATATGTGTATAGAGATTTTGTGTTTTTCTGCAAAAATAGGATGGTAGATAGTGTATTTTGCCATCTGTCCTGAGCTCTGCTTCGGAATAATCCTGGCCTGCTCAGACTGGAAGCTTGTCATTCAAAAACCGTTTTAAGATAGGATCATATTCCACTGGAGTGAACACAGTAATTCACTCTGATTAGATACAGTGTATGGGTTTATGTTATGTCTTTCTTTCACTCCCTTTGTCCTTTCTATGTTTCCTCTGCAATTGGACCCTAGTCATTAAAGCACTGTTGCTAACTGTTAAACAAACACTGCCTGAAGTATTATCGCAATACCACAAATGTGGAATTCCAGATGTGATATTACTCTGAACAGGAGCTTTAAATATTCTCCTCCTTTTGTTACAAAGAAATTATAAGTAAGTACAAAAAGGCAGGGGTTTTTTATATTCTTATTGTTCAGAATGTTTGTGGGGACTTTTTTTTCCCCAAAAAAACATTTTAAAATTCCATGCACTGGGGTGCTTTTTTTAAAAGTACAGTATTTTTCAAAACTAGAAAATATAATAAAAGTGATCGAGGAACTTTTAAAAGAACTTTTTGTCTTTATTAATATATTTATAAGAAAACTGGAGAAGCTGAAAAGTATGCTAGCTACTGAGTGTATTGTCGGCCACATTGGAAACAACTCCCTAGGTAGCAGAAATTAGAACTGGATTTGAAATAACCACTATGCGAAGAGAGACCTTTGCTCTATTCTCTTGGCTTATTAGGATTTCAGGGAGTCAGCTGCTATTTAGAATCCAGGGTTTAATTCAGATCACAATACAGTAATTGCAAATAACCCACAGTAGTTTTCTCAATCTCAAACTAAACAAGCCCAGGAAATAATTTTATTCTGAACTGTAAAATAAATCAAAGTTTGAAAATATCCAAAATACTTAACGAATTGGCGTCCAAATAGAGGCTTTTGAGGCCACCTGGTCCAGCTCCCCAACAATGCTTCATTCTCCTACACCGTCCCCAAAATCACACCCATGTCCATACATCTATAGACATAATTACACAAATATGCATATATGTGTATTTAATGCATATGTATTCACACACACATGCACACACACACACACACACACGTGCGCGCACGCGCACACACACACACTTAGGTATTTATGTAATATGCATGCACCTGTACAAGTTGTCATCCGGCCTCTTATTAATATTTCCCATGACTGACAGCAGACTCACTTTTCCCCCATTCTAATGGTAGCATGTAGAGAAGAGCCTTTGATTTATGCTGTATATAGTTGTTTGGGTTTTTTTTTTTTAAGTTCCTCCACTAAGGGGTTACCTCAGTAGTCAGTTCTCTCCTACTTTCCTATGACTATATTAATAAAGATGATAAGTAACTCTAGAATGCTCCTGATGTATCATTTTGCTGGATTGATCCAGAACCAAACTTATGAACTCTTCTTGAAAAACTAATGGAATAAAAATATAAAAAGATTAATTTAACTGAACCAAGACTTCCTTTGATTTCAATTTCTGTGTCTATAAAATAAGTATCTGTAAGACACATGTGTCTCCTTGTGTGAAGGCCATGTATTGCAAGATAAAGGCAAAGTTGGATGTCAGGGTAAGCAACATCAAGTTTATGTTTCTCCTGTAATGGCCCTCCTAAATTTCTTGCGTATCTATGATCTCTCTTGTTTATATTTCTCTGGTATGATTAATGTCTGTCTTAGGTTAAACTTGATTTCTTCTGTATTCGAATTTCCCCCAAATGCCTGAAGCCAGTATTCTCAACAATAGATTGAAATGAGCCTCCTTGATGTTTGTTTGCGCCTGTCCTGTGTACACATGGGTCTGTCCATGCCTCACGATGGGAAAGGACAATCAGCAAATAGACTAGATTTCTTAGCCCTCGTGCTTCTGTTTCTGAACTAATTCTAAAATTAGATATTATGCTTTATTAATAAAATCTTCGCATGCGAAGAATTAAGACTGAAAAATCATTCTTAGATGGTAGCTATCTGCTGATGAAAACAGAAGGCCTTACTTACTAAAATTATTTAAATGAGCTTAAGACCACAGTGTAGATACAAAGCACAATAAAATTTTAGATTATTCTTTCTTGCTTTCAGTTTTGACTGTAACGCTTATCTGAACATAAGAATGTGGTCTGATGAGTTATCTTTAATTCATAATTAATACATGCAACTTTTTCACATCATTCTTAATTTTGAGAATTTCTTAAATAAACTGTGTGTTTAAAAAATTAAAAGCCAAAGGAGTTAAAATATATGATATGTGAACTCATTTCTTATTCTTCCAGGGCAAGATTCTTGGGTATGACTTTTTTTTTCCTGCACTTACCTGGTCCCTGTTTTAAGATATCCTAACTGATATCTTCTCTCACCTTTTGTTATACGTTCTTTAAAGCACCAGACATGTTTTGCTTTGAAATTCCTCATAATCCGATAATTATGTAAGGATTCACATGATAATTTTTCACATATAGAAGTATAGTTCCATGCTATAACCATACTATAAATTCTTAGAATAATACTAGCATCATTTGTCCTTCTGTGATCGCTGACATTGAAAAGGATACTTATTACTGTTTATGAAATTACACTATGGGTCAGGGCCAAATGTTGAGACAGAGATTAATCACTGTCTTTAGAAGGGTCAAGTTTAGAGATGTTGGAGTACCAATTAGAAAATGTGCTCCTTTTATGGCATCTTAATGTTCTAAGAGATTAAATGTACATTCAAAAACATATTCCCACTTCACTCTCAGATCACATCCAAGGTGAGTATGTACTTATACATTCAGCCCAGTTGCAGCCTGAATTAGACCTGTTTTCCACCTCCAGAGGGAAGCTCTCCAGAGATTCACGTGGAGACAAATGAGAATTGGCCTTACCTTTCTGGGAGAGAAACTCTCTATAGAGCTGCTTCATTCTCTTGAAAGGGACCAGACAGTTTCCTAAGGGCTAAACAGAGGACCTCAGTTTCCCCATAGTAACATTTTCTTATGTGTCTCCTGGGCAAATATGCATAGGAAAATATTGCATTTGGCAACAAGTTTAGGCTGTTGGCAGTGGAGATAACAGTTGTTGCCTAGACTTGAGCAGTCAAAGAAAATATGGAAGAAAATTCTCTGTAACTGGGAAACAAGCAGAATATATGCAAGAAAGACAAGCTCAGTCCCAATGTTTCTATTTTTAAAACTTCTACATTTGCTAAATCTACAGGAGGGGAGAAAAGAATCAGACAATGATACCTCTCTGCATCTAGTCCCCAATCCTTCAGAGCTGTGTAGAGATATGAAAAATCAGTGGAATTTTCTTAAATATTATTGATAATATTGTTATTTTCCCCTTAACTGGATTTCTAAGTTCCAATGTCATTGGGGGAATGCTAACTGACAGTATCCCTGAACAATTAGAGAGCAAGTAGGTAATGACTATAGTAACACTTTTCCTCCCTAGTATAATGACGGCATGGTTGGAACATCAGAATTGTGCTGAATCCATGTAGTCAAAACTGATGACTGTGGAAGCAAGGGAGAAAGAGTGTTTGGTTTACCTTGATCATTCATGAGCTTCTGGAGTAAAATTATCCAGAAGCTAAGTAATAAAGTATCGCATTGAAAATAGAAAGTACCAGCCCAGGTGCAAACTATTAGTGTGAACTCATTAACCAATTTCAGTCTTGACATAAATATTTAATGGTTTAATAAAAAATATATATAATATATATATATGCACAATATACATTTATAAAACATAATATATTATACACACACACAATATACATTAAAACTCTAGGAAGGACTGGCCAGCCCTCCTTTGAGTAGGTTACAGACAGCACAGATATCCTTTTGAACAGCTCTCAAAACAATAATTTCTTACATTTGCATAGAGCTTCAAGGTTGGCAGAGCACTTTTGCCAACATCGACTCCTCTCTTCCTCATCAGATTTCAGGCCATAGATGCCCTTTGACTCTCTGGACCATAGCCTCTCAGAACCTGATGGTCCCAATAGGCACTGGGAGTGGGTTTGTCAGAAAGGTCACTAAGGAGGTTTGGCACTGTGCATGTCTGCCCTGATGACTCCCCTTGCTTCTGTAGGTGGGAGGCCACCCCGTGGACCGCGTGCTCCTCCTCGTGTGGGGGGGGCATCCAGAGCCGGGCAGTTTCCTGTGTGGAGGAGGACATCCAGGGGCATGTCACCTCAGTGGAAGAGTGGAAATGCATGTACACCCCTAAGATGCCCATCGTGCAGCCCTGCAACATTTTTGACTGCCCTAAATGGCTGGCACAGGAGTGGTCTCCGGTAACTGTGCCTTCTTTCTTTGTTCATTAGGAGAATAAGTCCACTCTTCCCTCTCATCATCATGACCCCCGGCTACCCTGTGCAGCTCCCCACTTCTTCTTTTGAGGTGTCTAGAAGCCTACTGGGTTAGGCTCTGGAGTAGGCATGCCCCAATTCCAGCAAAGCCAAATGTAAATGAGTAAATATATATACATATCTTTCTTCAAGTCTTTTCAAGAAGCCTCTATCGTTCCCCATAATGTTCCCTCAAGGGCAAGGGGAAGCACCTGTCTGTCAAGAGTAATTGAGGCCGAATGACTCATCCTGCTCCTTGAAAGGTACTCTGGTGATAGAACTCAGTAGACCAGAAGCTTGGTTTCATTTTTTTAATTTTATTTCTTATCTCTTGTCTCTATCCAAAAAGGGTCTGAGTGGATTAAAAGTAAAGCTATGTATTATATATTATTCATTGAAAAACAGATGAAATGAAAATCACAGAATAATCAGAATGGGATGAAGTAGAATGGCTAAAACTAATACATTCTAGGTGTTAGGAAAGCTGCTGCAGCCGCTTAAACATAAAAAGATTTTGATTTGCAGTTTCCTGTCTGCTAATGCAAAAAGATTTGAAATGGCAAAGGAGATGGAAAGACGAGGAGGTAACCCATTGTGCCCTCAGCCACAGAGATGGCAAAAGACTTCATTTCAGCTGTGTGGCTTTGTGGCATCAGATCAGTACTGGGACGTTTCTCTTTTTCTAGACATGACCCTGGGCATGTAGAACCACTGAGGCGCTGTCTACACCTGGCCATTGAATCAGTTCCTTTAAACACTTCTTTCCATGTCGATGTAATCAATTGGATCAGCCATGCTGGAATATAAATTAGCTATGATGACCATTAAAAACCTTTTCATGTCCATATGGGAGCTAGCATTTCCCATATTTTGGACCTAACAATCATTAGCAAGGTGACTACTAAATAAAATTAAAATGCACTGTTGGCAATCAAAACTGAGCACGTTTCTTTCCTTCTTTTCACTGCTTGGTTTGGGACTTTGCACACAGTGGGTGCTTAAGGAATGCTGACTGACTAATCCAAAGCTAAGAAATTGAAAATGATTGAATTTTCAGCCAGCTGCACCCTAAATAGCCAAACAGAACAAAGACCCCAGGGTGAGTAAGAAGTGGTGTAAATCCACCAGGAGTCCTTATATAAAAGCAGCCCTTTAAAAAGCCTCAGGTGGGAAATGCAGATGAGTAAACAAGGCTTTGCCTGTGAGTCTTCTCTCTCTTGCGTTCTCCTTCTAGTGCACGGTGACTTGTGGCCAGGGCCTCCGGTATCGCGTGGTTCTCTGCATTGACCATCGCGGGATGCACACAGGAGGCTGTAGCCCCAAAACCAAGCCCCATGTAAAAGAGGAATGCATCACACCCACGCCCTGCTATAAGCCCAAAGGTAACTTGGCAGGTGGTCTGTTAGCAGTCTTTTCATTATGTGTACTCGGTGCTGTTTTAAACTCCTTAGAATATTTGTAAGTATCCCAAGTGTTTTTAGTAACTATTCTTTGTAACTTAAGAGTCTTCTAAGTGGACTTTACTTTTTTTTTTAAGTCTTTCAAATAGTTTTGCTTGCAAATTGTTATCAAGCACTACATGTTTATACAGTGATCTCCTGGGTCATAAAGTTGTTTGACGACTGCTGCTGAAAAATATCAGATACATCTACTTGAAAGGAGATTATAGACATATTATAGAAATATATGTGTGATTTACTATCTATATTTCTTTCTGTTAAAATACAATGCAGTGAATCTAAGAGTGTCTACAGTGCTAAGCATGAAATATATTGGGAAGCCTCAGACTTCAAAGTGATGCAACAGAAGGCTGTTGCTTTTTCTATTGAAAATTAAAACAGTATTATAAGACTGGATTCCAGAAGCATAATTCGAAATGAGAAATTGGAATAAATCAGAATTTAATAGATATTGCAAATAATTTATAAAAAGTAAACTTTAGAAAAGTTCTACTTAGTGAGGAAGGTTTATTTTAATTACACTGGGTCTCTCAGATTAGCATGAATACTAACCTGACTACTCTGCTAATATTGTTATAATCTATGTCAGTGAAATAGCCAAAGTCACAAACCATTCAGAAGTAAAGAACTTCTTATTACAAGCTTCCTCCTATTTTTAATATTAAATATGATTCCCATTTGTTACTTAATGTATTTCTTTAAACCATTAAATTTCTCTGAAAATCAGCCACAATGTAACTCTTTATTATGCTATAGTTCTCCTTTGGTGGGAGTGAATGGCTTTGTGAAATCTAAATTAATGATATAAAAGGAAACAACAAAACAAAAACATACCAGAAATGCTGATTAATTTTCAATTCAATACACCTCTCCCTCTAAGCTACAGTCTCCTCATCTGTAAAATGGGAAGAATAATAATAGTAACTACCTCAGAGATCATGCAAAGATTAAATGAGACGTAATGCTAGTAGGGCGCTTAGCCCACTGCCAGGCATATAGGAAGTTTTCCACAAATGTTATCTTCAACTCTTGACTATCATTAGCATCCTCAAATATGGGAGGAAGTTGTCACTGGTTCATATGACAAGACTCATTTCGAATAGAAAATAAAGTATTACAAGCCTACTGTTAGTGCCAAGCTGAATGCTTCATTATTGAAAGACAGAGATGGCTCTCACTGTCAGAGGTGGCATCACGGACTGAGTCACTTTGTTGGGAGAAGTGGGTTAGTTGTGAAATGATGTATAAGTAGGTACCATACCGCTATGTCTAAAATGTGAGCAAATCCTTTTGGCTTTGGTAGTAGTATATTTCTCACTCGCTTTGTTTTCTGACTAGAAATAATTGTTGCATGTAGAGGACAAGAACTGATGCCCCTAACTGAAAATAGTCAATTATTCATTAACTCTGTCTTTACCAGGCCACTTCAGAGAAAGAAAAGCAGTTTGTTGTTAACTGTCAAAAATAAAACCTAGATTTTTCACAACTAAGTAGTGAGTCTGGGTCTACTTAAACATCATTAAAATGCCATATAATTCTATGGTGTATGCATATATAGACATATTTCTTTCATCTTTACAATTATATGTTATAAAATGGTGATAGAGCTTCACTGGCTTATACTATAAAGCAAGTATGCCTATAAATGACCCTAATAAAATATGTCACAATGGGAATCTTGGCAGTTACTTCTTAGGAGCAGTTATAACCTCCCTCTTTTTTTTTCCCCCTCCACATTTTTTTTTCCAGGAAGTAGTTAGAAAGCTTGTTCTGAATTGTTTGGCCAAAGCTACATAAATAGGTGAAACAAGTCAAATTATGGGTTGTGGACCTTAAGTTGCTCATATTCTAATTGTCAGTCAGCCTTGGGGTGGTATTCAATGAATCAGATATCTAAAGCAGTGTTTTTTTAATATCAAAAAATATCAGCAGTTTTATTTGTTTTTGACAGTATGGTATAGATCACACTTAGCCAAAAGGCAAAAGAAAAACAAGTTAGAATTTGTGGAAGTATCACAATACAATTTGTTGTACTTTGTGTTTGGTTTTAAAGGTAAATATTGCTCTATCTTTTCAACAGGAAATAGTGAAAAGATACTTTGATGACTTTATATACAAATTGAGCTAGTGCTCCTAGCATCACAACTTTCAAAATAAAAAGACTTTTCTTTGCCCTTCAACATAATAAAGGGGAAGAATATACACAGAGACCAGTATTACTAAACATTTTAAAACCTGATTCTTTTTTTCTTGATATATGAGGTGTGATAAAAAAAATACGGTGTTTAAATTTAAAAAAAATATTACATTAAAAGACACATTGCCATTAATCCTCCTCAAAATACTCCCTCTTGCTTCAAACACACTTATCCCATCATTCTTGCCACTTTCTAAAGCAGTTCTGGAAGTCCTCTTTCATGAGTGTCTTTAGTTGTGCTGTTGTGGCTGCCTCGATGTCCTGAATTGATTCAAAACGTTTTCCTTTCGTGGTCATTTTAACTTTGAGGAAGAGCCAGAAGTCACACGGTGCCAGATCCAGTGAATAAGGTGCATGAGGACATGCCGTAATATTGTTATTTGACAGAAATTTCCATACCAGAAGCAATGTGTGACAGGGAGCATTGTCACAATGGAGGATAAAGTAAAGATACTCACGGAAGAGGACTTCCAGAGCTGCTTCAGGAAGTGGCAGAAATGATGGGATAAGGGTGTTTGAAGCAAGGGGGAATATTTTGAGGGAGATTAATGGCAATGTGTGTTTTACTGCAATAACATTCTTTTTTATTATTTAAATGCTCACTGTATTTTTTTATCACACCTGGTAACGATTATCAGAGACAGAAATTTATCTAAACACATATTACTTGCAATTATCAACATAGTTTGTAGAGTACAAAATCAAGAACGGGTGAGGGGGAAAAGAGGAATTTCCCTGAAATCCCAAATTGGTTCTAACCTCTTCTCTTTTATGTGCATGCATTTAATTCTCAGAGAAACTTCCGGTAGAGGCCAAGCTGCCGTGGAATAAACAAGCTCAAGAGCTAGAAGAAGGAGCTGCTGTGTCCGAAGAGCCCTCGTAAGTTTTAAAAGCACAAGTTGCTTTGCTTTTAAGGCTGATTGGTTTAAAGAAAGTAGTGTCCCACTGGTTGTGGCTTTCATGGGCTCTGAACTAAGGGTAATCCTTTACCAAGGGTGGAATGAGGCTTTGGGGCTGTCGGATTGGTAGTTTATCCATTTCAAAGTGCTTCTCCAAACATGATTGCTCTCTAAATACTTTTCAATTTTGAAGTAAGAAAATGAAGGTGTAGTGCCTACTCTTTTCTCCAAAACCTGACCTCTTTTCCAAGAGGTCAAAGGTGAGGAGGCCCAGGCTGCATCCTATGATGTAACATAGATTTAATGTGGAAGTCTGCGCAGCTTTTCACATTCCTTATCTCGCAGCTTTGTAGTATAGCCACTCAACAAAAATTAAAGGATAAGTAAAATGTACCAGAGGACAAAGGAAATTTATTAGCTTTTCTTTTCCCTTTCCTGCTGAGATTGGTATTGGATAAATAGCAAGTCTTTGCTTCACTTGATCATGGTCCCATACCTGCTCAGTTTTATCAAGACCATGAAATTTGTAAGACTACTAGGCATAGACAGTCCAGATGCTTCATAAGAGGAGGAAATGAAGAACAGACAAGCATAGATTAATTGACTGATTGATCAATAACTATATATTGATTCTACTAGAAAACACTTGCAGGCATCTGTGCTGCATCATTTTTTTTTTAAATAAGGGAAAGCACTTTATTGATGAATTTCATTTATGACCCAAGCAATTTCTCAGATTGATGATTTTCTGGATTATTTAATCCAAGTACTAGGCTCTGTGCTATACCTTGATGCGTAAAACATGTTACTCCCCTTCCAGGAGCACACAGTGTAGCATGTAGAATATAAAATGGTTTCCAAATTCAACCCATAGTTTAAATTTTACTACAGATATTAACTAACATTGTAATCTGTATATTCAAAAGCAATTTAGAATTTCCTCAGATTCATCCTGTTTGAATCTAAATCTGATATAGTTTGCCAGAACACAAATTGTGTTCCTGAATCACGCTCTAACCAGCAAGAGATTGAAAAAGAAATCCAAAATACTGGTTGGTATGATAGCCAAAGCTCATTTGTAAAGAAATGTGTTCAGTCACTTGGCATCACAGAAAAATGGTTCATATATTAGGTAACAAATTTCTTACTTAAAAGGACAATAAGCAAAACAAATGATTTCTGTACTCTAAAGTTACTATAGCACCTTTTTCTACTTCTACAAGAAAAGCCTTTAAGAAAAAAACAACTAACCATTGCCGAACGTTGGAGGAAAGTAGTAGTTAAAGAGCACAGTGCAATGTTTACATGAATATGTGAAGGTTTAAAACTTTTTGTTTCTCTCCTGCCAGCACCTGACTTAATAGACCTTCTCACTGCTAAAGAGGGAGTAAGCAGTTCATTTTAGAGGGGTATTAACTCTTTAATCCACTAAGGTCCTATTTAAGGCACAGAAAGATGCCGCATCATTGGAGCTAGTTACTCTTTATATATATTCTTAGGTTCACCATGTTTAAATCCATATATGTATTATTTTACCTAAATAAACACTGCTCTCCTGTACACTCTATTAATTTATTTGGCCAAAAGCATAACCTTCTATGTAATACTGCATTATGACCGAGATTAAATAGTATTACAAAATTGAAATTAAATTAAAACATCTTACCTCAATAATTAAATATCTTTCTCATTATTAGCCACCTCCCAAATGAAAGCTGTAAGTGGAGTTTAATGCTTGTGCAGAAGCATTGATGGAGCATGGTCAACCATATTGTGTAATGAGGGTTTTCCACTAAAGGTCTGATTAAGGTGCATTATGTTTAACTTTCGTCACAATAAAATTCCTAATGTAGTTAAACACATATTTTAGCCACGGAAACTGTAGCCATATATTAGATTATTAAATTTTACTCTTGGCAGAATGGAAGTGCCATCTTGGCATGATTAATCTTAACTGAAGTAGATTGTAATTGGAGTGCTGGTGCCGGGTAAAGGAAACGTATACTATTATGCTCAGAACAATTACTTTTATACCAAAATGAAATAAATGACAGCTGTAGAAGAACGTAATGAAAGGTATATGGTTTCCACATTTTAATACCCTTTACATGTTTAGTGCATGAACCCTGGAAAAGGTCCTACGTGTCACATTATTTTTTTTATTGATTTTGAATTTAAAAATCATAATTTTGCATGGTCTGAATTCTTTCTTTAAAAAAAAACACATAGACTAGTTTCTAAATGTATGTAGCAACCTATAATTACTCTCCATAGTATAATGAAAAAATGATATACTGTCAGCAAGTCTTTCCTTCCCCCTACCAGTGAGACTCACATTGCTTAAATTAAATGGTAATGTTTAGAAGCTGTGGCTGTCACTTCTGAAATGCTACAGAGAAGCAGGAACAGTGGCCCAGAACTATTATCTCTCTCTTTGGCTCCGGCTAACATGGAGAGTTCTATAGTAAAACAGCAAATATCATTTATTTCCCCTTATGTAAAATGAAAATATTATCACCAGCCTGTCTCATTAAATTAATATAGGAAAATCAATAGCTTAAAGTCTTTAGCATATGGAGATACTATTATTGAATATTAGATGTTTTTTGATAACCCCCAAAAGACAAAAAAATAATTGGTTAGCACTCTGGCCAAAAATAAGTTGGAAAGCAACCACTCTAAGATATGTTTAGAAAAAAGCTATGATAAAAACTAAAAACTGAACTGCCAATAAATAACTAAAACTTTATAGAACACAAGCTGTACTGGTATTGTCGTTTACCGAACTAAATGCCATACGGGAGATACAAATAGAGATATCAGTCTCATAGAAGAGCTGAAATAAGTATTGAGATGGGGTCACGTTATGGTAATGTACTTAATATGTTGAGATTCATCTTATAAAGCTGCAGCTTCATTCAGAAATGCTTTTAGACATTGATTGGTTTTTATCCTCAGCAATAAATGGTTTATTTATGATGTATTTGATTTATATAGTACCAAAGTAAAAATATTGTGATGAATATATTTTCTTGATATAAAAAGTTATTTCCTAACCCACTTGTGAGAGTCATACCGTCTAAACTGATTTTTTTACTGGTGGCCATGGTTTGTCTTGATTCAGGTGCATGTTTTTAGCAGGTATTTCCTGACAACTAGCAGCAAGAATCTTTAAGCAAGGCATTTTTGTCTCTCTCCATTGACCAGGAAAATGTGAATAAGATTCAACCCCAAACCAGGACTAAACAATGTGGACCTTTAACCAATGAAGTTGCTCAAGCACAGACAGTCTTATAAATAAGTAAAATAAAGTGAACTTGCTTCTAAGGATGTCAGCTGAGGAATCCATAGAAATCCCTGCTACCCAATTTACACAGAAGGAATTATGATTTGAGATAGACTTCTAAAAATCATCAGATTTTGGGAGCGGTGCATTTTTCTAAGGGAAAGAGCAGTGCCCTTCTAGCATTAGAAAGAGAGACAGAAAAAAAGACTGATGAAATTTTCTTTTGCTGTTATTCAAACTGTGTCTTTTATTTTTTTTTAAGATTTTTTATTGGGGAATTGGGGAAGGGAACAGTGTTGGGGAATTGGGGAAGGGAACAGTGTTGGGGAATTGGGGAAGGGGAACATTATGTTTTTCCAGGACCCATCAGCTCCAAATCAAGTTGTTGTCCTTCAATCTTAGTTGTGGAGGACGCAAGCTCAGCTCTAAGTCCAGTCGCTGCTTTCAATCTAGCTGTGGGGGTAGGGCACAGCCCACCATCCCATGCAGGAGTCCAACCGGCAACCTTGTTAAGAGCACATGCTCTCACCAGCTGAGCCATCCGGCCGCCTGTTGGCAGCTCAGCTCGGGACGCAGCTCACTGGCCCATGTGGGAATCAAACTGGCAACCCTGTTGTTCAGAGCTCACGCTCTAACCAACTGAGCCACCCGGCTGGCCCTCAAACTATGTCTTTTTGAATTTGCCTCCAGCTGATGGGAGTATTGTTTGTTTTAGGACGTGTGATTTAAATGCTAGATTGAGACCAGCTGGTTGCTTTCACTGACAAATACGTGGCATTCACTTTCTAGGTATTTTTTAAACCCTCAAAATGTTACCTTTATTTGTTGAGGCATCAGAACTACCATGTGGTAGAAAAAGTATGTCCATTAATCAGGTAGAAACTAAAGAAATTACTGACTTGATTTCCCACCTCCTATTTTTATACCTGACTGTCAGTCTTTGTTGAGAAGTGTGCATAAATATCACGACCACCTCAAGCCATGTACACATTATGACCCCTTTGACAGCTTAATTTCTTGAGCAGAAATGATACTAGGGTGGCCTCTACAACATGTACAGGAAATTAATAAACTTACCTTCTTAAAAAGCCCGATCTAACTTGGAATGGGAAGGAAATTGTTCATTTCCTTAACTCCTTCAAGCCACCCAATGCCCTAGAAGATGTAATCTGTAAGGGAGGCGGGCATAAGGAAAAGAGATGGTCCAGATGCTCCAGATGCCCTGCCTTTTTCCTTCCATACTTTCTGCTCCCATGAAGTAATGCCAGGGAGAGAAAGGGAGGACTAACTAGGCACCTACGGTAGCGAGGTTCCTCCCATATTTATTTTAGTTGCCAGGAGTTCTGCTTGGATGGCTCAGAACAAGCAATAGGTGATTCCTTTGGGCACTACATGACCAAAACATCCATTTCAACTAGCCATCCCTCCATCAAACCTGGCACACACCAGGTGGAGAGTCTTAGCGGTGCCATCCCCTCAAAAGTGGGATTGGATGGTCCTCTGTGCCTTGATCTTACACTTAAGAAATCTTGAGTTATCTTAGTCCATTTTTAGTTAACAGCTTTACTACAAGGTTAGGGAAACATTTTTGTGCTTCAACACAATACTCAGGCCTGAAGCATATTGCCATAAATAAACTTGTTGTGAGCCATTTAAAAAGAGAAGAAGAAGAAGGAAAGCAAGCAGGCAGAAGG